TTGCTGACCTTTTATGCACTACATTCTAGAAGAGGTTTGTTTGGAATTAAGAAAAGAAGTTTCCCCTACTCTTTATAAGTGTAAAATACCTTAGTTGTACCAGGTTGGATCAAATGAGACAGTGGATTTTTTTTTAAATGTTTTCCAAATTGTAAAGTATAAATCAAAGGCAACTTTATTTTTTCAATCAGATACAACTTCAGGATTTACTTTGTGCCCAGATTAAAATGTAACATGTAAGATTGCTGATTGAGGAAAAATAAAACAAACTAAAAAAAGGAGGGTGGGATGGGGTTGGAGAACCATCTGTGAAACTGTTCAACTAAGTTATAACATTATATCATAATCGGAGACTGTGTGTACCTCTGACAGAGAAGACAAAGGATAAATCCCACAGAACTAGTTCTGTGACTCCAGCCTCCAGCATCACTTCTTCCCATGCCTAAATGGACAATGGGAGCTTTCTTTTCAACTCCAGCTACTCAGCTGTTGTGTATCTAACTTCTACCCTGTCCAGAAATTCTAGGGTGTCTCCAATCTGGTTGAGTGGACCTCAGGGACAATAGTCTAAAGAATTCTGAAACTTTGAAACTAAACACTTAGTAACCACCCCAGCTCTACCCTCCTGGACTATCTTTAGACCCTTGCTACTCAAAGTGTGATTGCAACGTGACAGTATCAGTATCCCCCTGGGAATTTGCTAGAAATGAAAATGTTTGACACCCTCACCCCAGACTAGATGGAATCTGCGTGTGAACTAGATCCCCAGGTGATTTGTATGCACAGTAAAGTGTGAGAAGCTCTGGTGGTCTAGACTGGTGGTTCTCAGCCTCGGGGTTCATCAGACTCACTGAAGGAATGCTGCCCTGCAATCCTGGACTGGGAGCCACAGTCTGAAAACCATTACTCTCGAGAGAGATCATTACACAGAGATTACATGAAGCCTTCCCCATTTACTGACCATGTTATGCAATTCCTATACCTTCCAACCTTTGCCAAGATGAGACTCTAGGAAGGCTAGCATTCCTCAGGAGTCTTAGACCACAAGGTTGCTTTGAACCACAGAGTCGGTAGTTCAAAGTCAACCAGCCGCTCCTTGGAAACCCTATACTTACTATGAGGGTTGCTATGACTCAGAACTGACTCAATGGCACTTAACAACAAGCATTCCTCAGGGATGGGAACATGGGCTATTCCCTTGGGTTGTTTTAATGTTGTCTCCTGTTTAAACAGAGCTGTGGACAAGGGATTCTAGAACCTCTGTATGAAGACCAGTGTCAACTCATGGCAGAGGTTCCATCAGGGAATGTGTTTTCCACACCTGTTCTCATAAATACTTGCAGTCTCAGAAACCCTATACAGGGTCACTATGAGTTGGAACCAATCTGGTGGCACACAATCACCATCAAAACTAATATAGCCTGAGTGCTAGCTAAAACTGTACTGGGAAGTCCACAGCTGAGAGCAGCTCTAGGATAGGTTGGAGACCTTCTTGCTTGGTGGATTATTCCTTATGGAAATCTTTCAAGTCAGAGCTTTTTTAAAAAAGATTTTTTTAAATAGCTCAGAGCTCTTAAACCCACAAGAGCCAATGCTGCAGTGTAGCTCATAGTGCAGAACACCCTAAGGGCCAAGCGTAGCTCTTCAATGGCCAACTCACAGTCCCTATACCATTGGATCCTACTGTCTTTCTGGTATAAAGATAAACCTAGATGATCAGAAAAAAAGACCCCATAGGGAAAAATTTTCTCTCAAATAGTAACCAAAAGAAAGCACGAAGACCATTCTAAGGAATTGAGATGGGTTTTGATTAGTATGAAGTTAGTCAACTCTATGGCAAACGTCCATTGGGTGCAAGAAAGTAAGCTCTATTTCATCAGAATTACATCTAAACAAATGATGAATCTACATCACGGAAAGCTATTGTTGTCATCGTCGTTGTTGTTAAGCATCCTTGAGTTGGTTCCGACTCATGGTGACCCTGTATAGGGTTCCCAAGGTTGTAAATCTTTGTGGAAGCAGAAAATCTCCTCTTTCTCCCTCAGAGCGACTGGTGGGCTCAAACTGCCAACACTGTGGTTCACAGCCCAGTGTTTATCCTACAGAGCCACAACAATCACCATGGATAGCTAAAGATAGAAATAAAAATAAACTGTTAAAAAATTATATGCTAGGGTCTGTGCTACATGTTTACTGGGATTAATTATTTCATTTCTAGCTATGAGGTAATTGTCACTGTTATCCTTATTTTACACATTTGGAAACTGAGCAAGAGAGCCATTACGTTTTTTGAGAACCATTATGTTTTACAATGGCATTTTGGCATGCAAACCTGAGCTCTCAACTACTGAACACATGTGGCAGATTACAGGACCACTGCTTCGTGTGGTGGTGAAATACACAATCACCATTACTGTACATAGCAGTGATTCTTTAAAAACGATGTTGTAAGCACTCAAACGCTTTGTATTTTGTTTTGTTTTGTTTTAAGGAGTAGGGGCAGGAGACAACATCTTACTAAGAACCCTGTTTTATAAAACAGACCAAAGTACAACTCTTCTGGTTGAAGCTCAGCAGAAGCTCTGGAACCCTGCCCAGTCCCACACTACCCCTCATGGCCACACCCGGCTCCCACGCTGTATTCACTCATAGGAAGTGGTTCCACCCCCGTGGTCTCTTGTCTCAACATTTCCAAGTCCCAAGTCCATGATCTGCTTTCTACCTAGCTGGGGTAACTGAGAAGATTCTCCCCAGTTCCAGTCATGGAGGACAGGAGCAACATATGGATGTGTCGTGGAAGGCAATGGTTCTAGGGGCAAACAGCCCCTAGTGAAAGATGGGTGAAAAACTTCAAGTATGACAAACTTTATTGAGTAGCTGGTGTGGCACTGTGGGTTAATGTGCTGGATTGCAAGGTCAGTTTGAACTGCAAGGTCAGTGGTTCAAGCTCACCAGTCGCTCCTTGGAAACCCTAAACAGGGATGCTATGGGTCGGAACCAACTTGACAGCACTTACCAACAACAATAGCATAATTACAGTTAATAGTTGGAGGGGCCCAGAGAGTAGTTAGAATTACAGTATTTAGTAATTGAATTCAAGTAGCATATTGAGCCTGAATTGTTGTTAGGTTATATAAAGGTCCATTCCAACTTGTAATTGTGGATAGGTGTGATCATGTGCACAAGTATTAATGGATTGACATTAATATAATTTAAGGCTTGAATGCATCAGTTGTGTTTTGGGGGATGTGACCACAGTGCTAAACCCAAGCAGTTAGTTCATGACCTCTATGCTCCAGCGAGCTGCTAAACACTTTATCACTTGAGGTTTGAGTTCCATACCAAACCACTCATAGCAGTCTCACAAGGAGAGGCCCAGGGACCAGAGTCACACTTGCTACTCTCCATACCATCCCGAAGACCTGTGGCTGCCATTCTGAGCCACCAAGCTAGCTGAGCCACTATTCAGGGTTAGTCCTGAGGAGAAGACAGTGTAGACAAACCCTTCTACCTTATGGGCACTGACCCTCTGGAGTGGCAGGAATTCAGTCTTTTGTGTGTGGCTAATCAAATCATAATAAGTGGTATGCTTAACCCTTTTGGTAGGGAGTGACTGTTTCTCTTTTTGAGTAATGGTAGGTTTTGTTATGGACACAACTGTTGAAATCTCTTTGTCCACATTTCTTTGTCCCTGGCTACTGTGTGGAAAAATAAGTAGATTTCAAGCCCATGTCATCCACGTTTTCATTGTAATCATTCACTTAAAGACCAGGATAGTGATCTACCGACTGTTCTCATTCTCTCTCTCTTTTTTTAAGTCATCGGATGCAGGTATAGATGTAATTTTTCTATTATTATAAAACAAATACAGGTTAGTAGTGTAAATTTTATGGCATACAGAAAAATATAAATCAGCAGAACAAAATGTATTGAACCCCCACCCCCTCCTGCACCCACCTCCCACCCCACCCCACTCCGTCGAACCAGAGGCAGCCACTTTTAACATTCTGGCAGATTTTTTCCTAGTCTTTTTACCTCTGTATTTTTGTTTTTACATAGCTAGATTTATAAAGTCTTGTTTTACTTTTACCTAACTCTGGTAGCATAGTGGTTACCAGTCAGGCTGCTAACCTCAAGGTCAGCAGTTCAAAACTACCAGCTGTTCTGTGGGAGAAAGATGAGGCTTTCTGTACCCATAAAGGATTATAGCTTCAAAAACCCCATACAGGGTCTCTGTGAGTTGGAACCAACTCCATGGCATGTAACCGATACCACCAACTGTATTGTAAGCATTTTTCCACATACTATTCTTCAAGACAACAAGTAATGTTGAGTGAGTTAAGTAAATTTGACACTGGGTCATTTCTTCATGTGTTGAATGAGGCTGTGGTTCTGTGTGTTGAGTGTGCATTAGAGTCCCCTGGAAGACTTGCAGGGGCCCAGAGTTTGTGACTCAGTAGTTCTGGAGTGGATGGGGCCTGAGGATTTGCATTTCCATCAAGTTCCTCCTGCTGCTACTAGTCAGGATACCACATTAAACCAGTGAAATGAGGAAATTGAGTTGTGGAATTTCCAGTCAACTACTGATTTCAAATTCTAAGTTTCTGAGTATTTTTTAAATTCTCAAAAAAGAAAACCCAGCAATTTTTTTTTTTTTTAGACTTTTACAAGTCTTTATGATTTTTTTAAAATTCAAAAATAATATCATCTACTATTTTTAAGTAATTATTTCCACTTGTAACTCTTTAAAGTTTTATATTTATTCCTTTTTGAAGTGACCGGGATTTTTTTTAAATATATCTTATGGTACATGGAGGGGATTATAATCATTGTAATGAAACAAAGAATATGATTCGTTGAATGTAAAACTGATGATCTGCCCTGTAAACTTGCACTCAATTCACAATAAAAGCTTAGAAAAAAAAGTATATCTATAAAAGACAGTCAGATTTCCATCCAATAGTTTATTGTTTGTTTCTATCCCTTTTTCCTTTATACAGTTCCATATGTACTGAAGAGCTGTGCAGAATTTATACAGACTCACGGCATTGTGGATGGAATCTACCGGCTTTCAGGAGTCACCTCAAACATACAGCGGCTAAGGTAAGCTGAAAGGCTGAAAGGGTACCCTTGAAAGAATTCACCCACGGTCCTTCAATCCATACCTCTGCCCTTAAGTACTAGGAGTTTGAAAGCCTGAAGGAACTGAGGGAAGGGTGGCAGGGCAGAAAATCAGATATGAATTGTTTCAGATGTCTGACTATGCTTAATCTAATCAGGAAATTCTCCAGTTTGATGTCATTCTTTCCAACAAAAGTTCCCAAGGGCTTTTAATCTCTCTCTCTCTCTTTTTCTTTTTTTTCTTGGGTTTTACACCAGATTTCTCCTTCATAGGTGAATTTGATCTTGAGAACTCAAATGATTTAAATTACAAGTTAGAAAAACTTGATTTACTTATCATTCACCCGCCTACCCAAAGCTTAGATAGATGTGGTTTCCATTACATACTGTTCAGTACTGGGACACCAATGTGGGTTTTTTGGTTGGCACAAACTTACCAGCTGATGTTTCATCTGGTTGAGACATCAGAAGTCTGCATGATTATGCATTTCCCTAATTGAAGCTGATGTTTTTTAAAGTACTAATCCAAGGAAAAAACCCAAACCCATGGCTAACTCAAAGTCACCTGAGAGGACAAAGTAGAATTGCCCCAGAGGGTTTCCAAGCCCGTAAACCTTTATGGAAGCAGATTGCCCCATCTTTCTCCCCAAAATTGATGATAGATGAACCATTTTTAAGTCTATGGATTTATAGTAAACATTTGGGAAAAATTATATTACATTCAATTATCCTTGTTGTTAAGTGCCATAGAGTCAATTCTGACGCTTCATGACACTGTAGAGGGTTTCCAAGGAGTGGTTGGTGGATTTGAACCACCAGCGTCATTGTTAGAAGTCCATTGCATATCCTACAGTGCCACACCAGGAGTCAATTAGGAGGACAGAAAACTATTTGTGTGTATGTGTGTATTTGTATATAAAACATACACATAGTATAATATATGTGTGTGTGTAAACTTTTTATCACTAAAATATAAAATACATAAAAATAAGTTAATGTATTTTGAATGCTAACCTTTAACACAAAAAAGGTCATATTTTAATAAGAGCTAGTTTCGTACACTTATTATATTTCTTTAGTTATAAATGTGGACTTTGAAAAAACTAAAAGTACTCTTGTTACAAGGTTAATACCCTCCACTGGCATATAGAGACCACTGTATAGGATTTCTGAGGCTAGAAATCTTTGTTGTTATTGCTGTTAAGTGCCATTGAGTCGCTTCTGACTCGTAGCAACCCTGTATAGGGTTTCCAAAGAGCGGCAGTTAAGTTTGAGCCATCGACCTTGTGGTTCAAACAGACCTTTCAGTCCAGTATATTATTCTACAATGCCATCATTCTCCCGAGGAGCAGCTGGTGGGTTTGAACTGACAACCTTGCAGTTAGCATCCAGCGCTTATCCTACTGCACTACCAGCACTCCTTACAAGGATAATAATTAAAGTTGAATAAATGGTACAGGTAATTTTGTTTTTGTCTTTCTCCCATTTGGTTTTCTTCCCCTCCCCTCAACATCTTAATTGTAATTATACCAAAGAATTAAAATGTCTTTTTTTACTAAAAGAAGAGAAGTGATGATTGTAAACAACAGCAACAAAAAGGTTTCTTGCTGTCATAGTCTTGAATGAATCTATGTGCTTGAGTAATTTTCACCAATTTACTAGTGTGACATTTTAAAAAGTTTCAACAGCAAATACTTTTTAATGATTTACTCTAGTTGGTATCATGGAAGACCAGTTTTTATTTAAGAACCTGGTCTGAGCTTTGACAAAGGAAAATTTTGTCTAAATGAGTAAACTTCAGATTGTTCTTGTTCTGATCTTTTGAAAATCAAAATACATACCTAGGAATTTATTGGGCCATTTCATGATTTCTCTTTTTAAGACCCCAGTTGCTTTCAGGCTTTTCCTGAAATCCCCATTAGGGATTTCCTACCCTGAAAATAGACAACAGGAGAATGGGCAGTGAACACTTTTGCAAATGCTGCTCTGAGAGTCCCAATGACTTTGTCACTACTTGGCTGAGCAGGTGTCTAGTCTTCAGGAATCTGACTTCTCTTCTTCATATTAAAGCTCATTTATGCCGTTTCTAAAATAGATTTTTAACTTTCAAGTATATATTGGAGTCCCTGAGTGGAGCAAATGATTCACATGCTGCAATACTAACAGAAAGATTTCAGATTCAAGTCCACCCTGAGACACCTCAAAAGAAAGACTTGTTGATATAATGTTGTTTGAAAAACTAGCCACTGAAAACCCTATGGAGTACAGTTCTACTCTATACTCACATAGGGTCCCCATAAGTCAGAATCAATGGCAATGGGTTAAGTATACATGATATGAGGTTGTGTATTCATGTAACCTTGTGAGGAAATATTTCCTCCATAGGTCACACAAGGCCTAGAACCTGATGATGTCCCCAAATACCCCACTATAGATTGTTTGATGGTGGCGGTGGTGTGCCGTGGAGTCGGTTCAGACTTAGAATGACCCTGTGTAGTTTCTGAGGCTATAGATCTTTACGGGAGAGAAAGCCTCATCTTTCTCCTGTGGAACAGCTACTAACCCCAACAACTGAACTTGGGGTTAGCAGCCTGACTCTTAACCACTATATTTAGGAAGATATGCATAAGCTTATCTACCCTATGGGAGTTCTACTCAACATCAAAGAGATATTTGATAAATTTTTCAAGGTTTGGGTTTCAGTCTCCTCATAAAACATGAATGGCGGTGGTGCTGATGTGCCACTGAGCTGGTTCTGATGCATATTGGCTCCATATTGGGTTTCCAAGACTGTAAATCTTTACAGCAGAAAGCCTCATCTTTCTCCTATGGAGTGACTGGTAGATTCGAACTACTGACCTTACGGTTAGCAGTCCAACTTGTAATCCACTATGCTACCAGGGCTCCTTAAAACATGAATATATGGATATAAATGGTAACAACCTGACCCGCCCTGGTCTTGGTTTCTGTTCTAAGAAACGGAGACGCATTTCAAACAATATTTTGGAAAAACTGAAATCGCAATAGGCTTGTTTGACAAATGGTTCTCATATTTCCCCACTGTTCATAACTGAGACAGAATGCCGTGGGAAATTCATTTGTAAATGAGCATTATGTTTTTCTAACCATTGCAGTATTTTCGGGTAAGGTCCAGGACTGAAATGGATTCCTTTCCATCTAGCCTCCTTGGACTTGGAGTGGAAGGTCATTTCGAATCAAGGTCAAAATATAATCAGATCAGCATTTTAGGGTCTTTTTTACCCCTAAGCAAACATGCGGTTGCGGACATGGAACACATGTTCCCTGGGATTGTTATGTCTTTGTCTATGTTGTTTCAGGCAGGAGTTTGGCTCAGATCAATGTCCAGATCTGACAAGGGAAGTATACCTCCAGGACATCCACTGTGTGGGCTCACTCTGCAAACTCTACTTTAGGGAGCTTCCCAACCCCCTCCTGACTTATGAGCTCTACGAGAAATTCACGGTGAGTGTTTGGATTTCTGTTACGGTTACTGGGTGGGACACATGGACAGGCCAAAGAAAGTTTCAGCACTAAAATAACAATAATAATACTTACCAGATGGTTGACATTATCTTAGCATGTTGATGAGAGTAGGGTAGTATGGTGAGGAAAGTTGGGTTTGCTTACTCAATTTTTTCGTTCTTGAATTTCCAGAATCATATGTGCTTGTTTTAGGAGCTGGGTTAAATTATCTTTGTGTTTATTTAACCAAAGGTGCCTCATTGTATAGAGAGGAGAGGGAGAACCAACCAGAGAAATAAAGTGACTGGCCCAAGGTCATACAACAGAGACAGGACAGGAAGCTAAGACTCCATATGATATGCCCACTGCTAGTTCATTTTTATCAGGCTGCCCTGTCTGAGTTTGGGGGTAGGGTGAGATGGGGGAGCTTGAGGAAGGAAGTAAATGGGTAGAGAAGGAAGAGGAAATAATCCGAAGTCAAGAATGAAGTCAAAAATACTGGGAAGAGAAAAGAAATCCAGAAAAAACAACCATGAGGAAGTACAGCATAGGCCAGTGAGTGTGGATGGTGAAGTCACTGGGTCGGTTGGGGTGGTCAGTTGGGTTGATGAGGTAGATGAATGGGCAAGAACAGAACACCCACATAAACAACTGTGTAATCACCATAGGAAAAGTAGAAAGGAGAATACTTTTCCTTTACGGGTATACTTTTAAATAATTCTAAAAGATTTGTAGAGATGTCATTAAAAATAGGGTTTGAATATTCAGAGGTGCAGAGTAGGTGGAGAGGTAGTTTGTTGTTGTTTTTAAAGCTTTTATTGTGAATTGAGTGATAATTTACATGGGAGAACATCAGTTTTGCACTCATCCTAGTGTATTTCATTTCATTGCAATGATTACAATCTCCTCCATGCATCACCAGTCAACAGTATTTGCTTCTATTCCTTCAGTTTGTTTGTTTGTTTATTTATGTACACAAAAACACTCAGGAATATATAATCATTTAAACAACCCAAGGGCACGTTCTGCAAGCCTGCCTCCTGACTGCCAGCACACAAACTTTCCCTTTCCATGAGTCTAGAGTCTTCACCTGCTCTAGCTCTCCATGTTGTCATTTCTGCCTCCATCTCTGATGTCACTGCTTCTCTGGATTGGGTCCCACGTTCCGCTCATGCTCTTCTCCCTTAATGGTACTAGGGTTCTCTGTTCCTGTACTATAAGATTAACTACTCTCCCCTTTTTATTACAAAACTTCTACCTTTTAGTTGTGACAATTGCAATTAGTCATGATAACAATTACTATTGACTCAAAAGAATCCTATCCCCATCTCCTTTCACCAGATGCATCTAGACAAGATGAAAACTATTCAATGGGGATTCTACCTTCCTCTGCACACTCTGAAACTAACCTCCTTCTTGAAAACTTGTAAGCCAGCCACTTTGTGCCTTCATAGCCCCCCCACCCCATTTTAGGTAGCCAGTTGTCTAAGTTGCCTGTCCCTATCGAATAAGAAAGGAAACTAGTCTGCATAAGGCAAGTGAGTAAACATAAAAAAGGAGATGAACAGATTATTCATCCCAGTAAGAACAATTGAGTGCTGAAGTGGGGTGGTCAGAGGGGGATATTTGAAATAGAGATTACAGAGGGGTCATATTGATGGCAAAGACCAGATCTCGAGAGTCTAGACATGGGAAGGAGTCTTTCCCATGACTCTTCTAGTAAATTTATTTTGAATTGAACTGATACAGGAATAAATGAACAGTACGTTTTTCAAAAAATCAGGTATGAGCTATTAAAAAGTATACTTAAGAATTTTCAGTGATACAGTGAAACACTAATAATGATAACTGGGAAAACAACAAATTACAATTGTGTATTAAACAAGAATGATGTCCAAAAGACTAGTAGTCTTTGACTGCAATGATGGGATTATAGTATTTTTTCTTGCTTCTTTATACTTTTAAATTCTAAATTTTCTCTACTCAAGATATATTGATTTTCAAATGAGGGGGAAAAAATAGACCAAAGCTCACAAAAAAGGTAGGCGTAAATGCTGACTACAAGAGCAACCAATATACACCAGATGGCATGAAGCTCTTGGTGGTGAAATCGAAGGCAGAAGGTGAAGGAGCTTCTAGTCTGAATGGCTAAGTCATAAGTAATGGCAGTCCTTGGCCAAGAAACTACCGAAGAGTTTAGCCAGGCACCAAGAGGAAAGACTGTGGGCCATATGTTGATGCACCAGATTATTATCACTACTTCCATGTATGAGTATTTCCTCATTTTAAAGGTTTTCCAAAAAGACAGTGGGGGAAGGAATCTTTTGTCTCTCCCCTTAAAGACCAACAACAACTACAATGAACATTTTCTTCAGTCTCTTATTCTCTCCATAATGTTTTTCACTTCCTCTATCAAAATAAAATTTTATTGTAAAATTAAAGCAATACAGAAAAGTGTAAAGGAGAAAGCTCACATCTCCTGAAATCCCACACCTTAGATATCTCTGCTGTTAACCATAGAGGTTTTGTCTTACTTGCTTTTTCATTCTCTCTCAATGGTATATGTTTATGTATCTGTCTCTCTCAATCTCTATCCTCACTTTCATTCTTCAATACTCTATAGTGAACCTTTCCAGGTTAATAAATGCAGTATACTCTAATTTTTTACCAAGTAAAAAAGGAGCTCTGGTAGCGTAGTGTTTATGAATCGGGCTGCCAACCTTAAGGTCAGCAGTTCGAAACTACCAGCCGCTCCACGGGAGAAAGATGAGACTTTCTTTTCCCATAATATTTACAGCCTCGGAAACCCTGTACAGGGTTGCTGTGGGTCGGAACTGACTCGACGGCACTTAACAACAACAACAACATTATTTCATAAGTATCAGGACATTTCAGTTTTTTGTTTCCCATGCCTTTGCTTTTATAAACCACATTATAGTAACCATTTTTGTATATACATCTTTACATACATGTCTGATTAGTGAAACATTGTCACGGTGAATTTGCTTATTAAAACTTTCTTTTCATATGTTTGCATATTGTCACACTGTCCCTCAGAAATTAGGATTGCTCTTTACCACATAACTTCTTCAACACTGGATATTTTTCAGTTTTCTAAATGTTTGCCAATCTGAATCGATCAAAAATAATGTCTTATTGTTGTTTTAATTTGTGCATAAGAGTTTACTATTTATTTTCTAAAGACTTGCAATCCTCTTACCGGTATAATTTTTGTATCTTGGATGAAATCATCTTCAGATATGGTAGAATACACTTATCGTGTGAATGAACTGAATAAGGCTAATTTCTTTTAACTAATAACTCATCCTATTATATTTGGGAGTAGACAGGAATTCTTATCTAGAAATTTCAGAAATATAGTTTCTTTTTAAATCTTGTTTAGAGTCTCAATGAAAGCCCATACTTTTTCTCTGCACTCCTATTCCCTGACATCACTAATCAACCTCTTCTTCCACGGCAGCAGAAAAATGCCAAGGCAACATTTTGTTAACTTGTCTTCAGATTTGAAAGAAATCTGACATTGTATTTAATCAGTTTACTAACACTTAAAAATAAAATAGGCATGTTTTCGAGACAGCAATTGACTCCTACCTAGATAAGGCCTAGGAAACCCTGTACAGGGTCGCTATGAGTCGGAACCAACTCCATGGCACATAACAATCACAACAGATAAGGCCTAGTGAAGTTAACTATGTTGAAGAAATTATCATTTAATAGACTTATTTGTGACCACAGTAATGAATTATGATTATATAAGCAAGTTATCTTCCGGGACATGGAAGTAGTTCTGTTACATCGTTACACCATCTTACAATAACTTGCTTAAACCCATTTGCACAGCTAAAGTGAAAAATGATCTCAGTGAATTGCGAAGGTGTTTCAGAAAGCGCATGGAAAAATAGAATTAAGAGATAATAGAATTTTGATGGTGCCCAGCTACCACTAATAGCTTCTCTGAAAGGGATCACATAAGAAGATCCTGAACAGAGTAGGAGAAAGTGTGGAGCAAAACTCAAAAATATAAATGAGGCTTACTAGTCAGAAAGGAGCTCTGGTAGCGTAGTGGTTACGAGTCGGGCTGCCAACCTCAAAGTCAGCAGTTCTAAACTACCAGCCTGTTCTGTGGGAGAAAGATGATGTTTTCTGCTCCCGTAAAGATTTACAGCCTCAGAAACCCTTTATAAGGTCGCTATGAGTCAGAACCGACTCCACGGCACACCACTACCAGCACTAGTTAGAAAGAGACTGACGGAATCTGAGACTATGGCTTTCAGTCACCCTTCTGGTCTGGAACTGAACTTACCCCCACGGCTCAATTTTCAGCCACAAAGTAGCTAAGTATAGAGGGGGAACCTCAACGTTAGTGAGATATATACACACCATGGAATGGTCAACTATTCAAGATCAACAGGGTAGCATTTACCTAAGGTTAAAATTCAGAATGGTTGGGAAAGAAGGTGGAATGGAAACCAGAAGTTCAGGGAGGAAGTGGGATAAGTGATGTTGCCTGGAGGTGATTGCAAACATAGAATTAAAAACAAAAAATTTAATGAATTTTTGCCTTGAACTTTTTGAAATGCCATTTATTGACAAAGTATATGAATTCATTAAATACGCTATTTCATTTAACCCTCAAACCAACCCTGTGAAGTAGGTTTTAGTGTCTCTTTTTTATAGATGAGTAAATTAAACCTCAAAGAGACTCTTACCTGGGGTCATACAACTAATAAGTAGAGGTTAAGAATTAAAATTTTGTCTTATAACTGCCACATTATCTTACAACAGAGATTACAACTCTGAAACAGGGTCAGATATTAAATGTCTTAACAGGAAACAAAGAAAGCATCTTAAACTAATGAAGGAGCAATACAACAAACCATGTTAGGAAAATCGGTTAACTTTTAAGGATGGGGTGGAATCAAGTTACATCCAAGCAGATCTCAGGGTGGATTTAATAGTGAACAAAACAGATAAAATCC